AAATCCACCTATCTCCTTTGCCTGTGAAAATATAAACAAAGAGCCCCTCTCTTCGGGGTGTCATTAACCTGAAAAAGGAATTATGATTAAGATTAGTTGGCTTCTCCATCTCTCCCTTGTCCATCTTTCTCCAAACGTGGTTGCGTCCTTCTAAGGGGAATACATCAGCTTTATTCTGTAGAAACATAAATGTATAGCCCTTTCTCCAGGTGAATGGACCCGGATCCCAAATGCGATTTCCATCTTCTTGGGACGTCTTAGAATCAGCTTTGTCTGTAGAAGTGAAAATGTGTTTATCTACCCTAATTTTGTTACAAGCTTTTAGTAAGGAGGAAATTTTTTTGGTTAAAATGACTAAATGAAATTCATCATACATAAGGTTACTCTTCTCCCCCTTCTGTTTTAACAGTGCAGCCTTTAAAGCATTGTCAGCAATCTCAGTTACCTTGCTTGGTCTTGAACCAGTAAAACTACTTGTTAGATAGCCTTTATTGTTATGTAAATACTGGCTCCCAACCCTCAGAGAATCTGGAGAGCTAACGTGTAAATTTTGGCCCCTAGCTCTCAGAGAATTAAGAGAGCAGATTGATTGGGAGAATTTCTTACTATACTTTGAAAGACTGAAAAAACTCTTAATAAATTTGTTCAGCTGTTCTCAAAGTAACTTACCAAGCACATTTTTTCTCCAAGTTTACCAATAAGGTTACGGGCTCAATTAAGCCATATTGCTCTTTAGTCTTCTTACACAGTATGATTTTACAATCTCGCAATAGTCTCTGTTGGTTAACTTCACTCATTCCTTCCAGGCTGGATTTAGGGGCGCTTAATGGGAGGATCTTAGGCCCTCCTGAATGAATGCCCTAAGGAAACGTCTCCATATCTAAAGTTTAAAAGCCTTTTCCCTTCAATTTCTAATTCCATGTGGGGGCGCTGCTGTTTCCCCACGACAGCATCCAGAAGACCCCTTGATTTAAAGAGCGATCAGACTTCTCAAGTACTCTTTCCTGATAGACATATATCTTTACTCTAGGAATGCAAGGGAGCAAAAATTGGTTTAAGCCATCTTCCTTCTTCATAAACCATGGTATATCAGAATTTATCACTGCCTTAATTTCTTCATAATCCTGATTCATAATTCTAGCAACACCTTGAGAATTTAGGTTGGACTTTCCTAATAAACATCCCATAGTTCTTTCAGCTAGCGGACCTCAATTGCTGCTCTTAATAATTTCTGATTCAATTACAGTTTTTAGCTTTTCCTCACAACTCTGATCAACTCCAGTATCAATTTGAATTCCCTGAGTACTTAGGTTAAAACTTCCTGATTAAAAACTGTATTACTTTTTCAATAAGAGGCTCCTGCTTTTTAGAATCAACAAACTGCTGTGAGGGCTTCTGAGCCTTCTCTTGGTTAGTCAAACCAACTGCAGCGAGAATAGAGGCTGCGGTTCTGCAAGTTTGGCTACGTCTGGTCTGCTGTGAAGTTAGGAGATACCTGCGATTTCTGCCATTCAAAGATTCTCTTGCTGGGTTAGGCAGAGGCTTTGCCTTCTGAGCTCTATTAGGCGGGGCTTGGATCAAGCTCTTTCCACTATTTCCCCGCCGGGTAGCCTTGGCTAATGGCAACCTGTTAGTGTCAAATTTTGAGCCACATTGACTCGCCCAGTGAGTTCCCTTCCTACAGCGTGGGCATAGTTCAGGGTCTTTTAAACCCGAATTAGGTGACCCTGGCCTATGCTCTGATGCAGGCCGCAGTTTACTTTTCACGGCGAAGCTGATTGGCCTGTGCTGTCTGCACTCTCTTTGAAGATGACCTGTTTTCCCACAACTAAAGCACTTTCTTCTAGGTCTGATATAATTTTCCAATGCAGCCGCCATGAGGTTGGCCTTGTAGTCTTGTCTCTACATACCTGCATGTTCTAAAATAACCTAACGGCGTGCCATGTTCCCTATAGGAAACACTGTGAATCCCTTTTGGGTGCTGCTCGTCAGGCTCCCTGTCTATAACTCTCATGGGATGAACCACTCCAAATTCTCAATCTGCTTCCTGAGCTATGCTCTTCTCTAACCCTGAATGCAAAGGTGTCTTCTTAACACCCTGCCTCTTTGCTTTTTGCTTCCTGAACCTCACCTTCTATGTTAAATCTCTCCACTTGCTTTTCTTTGGCTCTAATCTCATCTCTCCCTCCAGCACTGACTTGCTTGATAGTATTGTGATTCCCTACGCTATGCTCTGGAGGCTTTGCAGATGCTTCTAGGCTGATAGCT